ATAATTACTATAATAATCACCAGATATAAATAAATATAAAAAAATATAAATATAACATACACTTAGCTTTATAATTTAATCAAAAATAAAAAAATACGAAATTTCATTTCCAACTTGTCAAAACAAAACTATTTCTATTTAAGTTTTTACAGAAATGCATTCAAGCGTGACGATTGTAATTATTGTCATTCGTAATTATCTAGCTAAGATAAATATCAAAAGTATGCGGTTGTGCCTCCTGTGTGTCTATGCGGCTATAATTAATTGTTATCGTAATAATCTAGATCTTCTTATATTTATGAACAGTATTGTACTCAATCAGTCATCTAAATTAAACCTTACTTTCGATCTATCTTGGAAACCATATATAAAATCAATTGCAAAATTAGATCTGCTAAGGTTTACCATGCTCGCCACTTTCTTACTCCGGATTATATTATCAATCTCTATAAATCTTAAATGCGTCCTTGTATGGAATACTGTTGCCATATCTGAGCATGAATTATGCTTTTTACTGCCGTGGCGCACTGGTAGCGCAGTTGTATTAGACGCAAAAGATCCGTGGTTCAAACCCCACCTTTGGGCTAGTTTTGCGATATCGGTTAGAAAGGAGGCGTAAATTTCCTATTAAATGCTCATCCGCGGTGCTCTGTGATAAGACCGTAGGGACTTTTCGGGGCATCTAAATAAAATTAATATATATATATATGTATATATATATATATATATATATATATATATATATATATATATATATATATATATATATATATATATATATATATATATATATATATATATATATATATATATATATATATATATATATATATATATATATATATATATATAGGGGAAGTGGGGGCATAACCGCCCCCGTAACGTTTGCAATAATGTTATATGAAAATAAAAACGAAATGTGTTTTTTTAGCAGTTTATTTCAATAACTACATCATTAAGCTTTAAATTGATGCATTTAAGAAAAAAATTGAACAGGTTTTGAAAATGTTATTACAAAAAATTACACTTAGTGAAAAAAACGGTGTTGCCCCCATTGTGAGGCACAACCGCACCCTCAAAAAAATTGATGGGGCTACACCTTTCATGGTACATTTTTTTTACAATTTTCACAGCTCAGATGATTTGATGATTTTATTGCATGTTTGCATATTGTGCAGGCATTCTTTGTGTTTACATTTTGAGTTCTGCCCCAGAAGAGAGTTCTACCCCAGAAGAGAGTTTTTAGAAAGAATTCAGTTTCATAGATTAATCATTAGATTATGGTATTATCAAAAATGACTTTCATTTCATGAAATAATGATGATAACACATATTTTTAACACTAAAATTAAATATTGCTTAATTCTCAAAAAGAAGGTCATGAAAAATATGATGTAAATATAATATTTTTATCAAAATAAAAATTATTATTCACAACTTCTCAGAAACTTAACAGTCACTCTTTTTGACATATGCAAAATGAAGGAAACTGTTTTACTAACGCGTGGTATGTTTTTTGCCATATTAGATAATATTTTTTTGAAGAGAAATGTTAAAAAACGGTTGTGCCTCTATATGCAGTTATGCCCTCACTTCCCCTATATATATATATATATATATATATATATATATATATATATATATATATATATATATATATATATATATATATATATATATATATATATATATATATATATATATATATATATATATATATATATATATATATATATATATATATATATATATATATATATATATATATATATATATAAATATATATATATATATATATATATATATATATATTATGCCCTAAAGGACAGTTTTTAGAAAGAATAAAGTTTCATAGCTTGCTTATTAGGTTATTTTGGTATCAAAAATGGTTTTCACTTGATGAAATAACGCTGATAACAAATATCTTAAACACTAAAATCAAATATTGCTTAATCCTCAAAAGAATGGTCTGGAAAAATATGATGTAAATATAATATTTTTATCAAAATAAACATTATTATGTACAACTTCTCAGAAACGTAACAGCTACTCTTTTTGACATAAACTGTTTTTCTGACACAAGGTAAGTTTGTTGCCATATCAGATAATATTTTTCATAAAGAAATGTTAAAAGACGGTTTTGCCTCCGTATGCGATTATGTTCCTACTTCCCCTATATAAAATTTTGACACTTTTTAAATTAAATTGTTTTAAAATGAACTAATAGCAAAAAAAAACAAACTATTTTGATATTTAAAAAAAAAATTATCGTGACGAACATTAAACAAAGTAAAAGTTCCAGATGGCAAACATTTGGCCGTTATTTAGCTCTTTTACAGTCTAAAACGCTTTTTTATTCTTGGAGGTCGTTTATTCTAAAGGTATTATAGAAACCAGTTCTCGACCTACAGGCTAGACTGAAAGATAAATAATTTATAGAAAAACGATTGATAAATGAATATTTATATTGGACTATTTATATTAGTCCTAAAAAGTGGCAAACATTAAATGTTTTACCTTGTCCGGAGAGATTTCAATGTTAAAAGATTCTGTTTAAGGTTTTTGAGCTAATAACATTAAAAAAATATAATAATAAATTTGGTTTTTACTAGAGATACCGAATAACAATTATTCCAAATACCGAATAACGAATATTCGGCAAGGCGCTCGGCCGCAGCACCGATTTTTGGCTGTCGAATATTTGGCGACTTAGTTATTTTGATGGCTCGATTATTGATCTGCGTAAGCTAACAACGGTGTGGGGGGTTTTAGTTTCATTTATGATTAGGTCGTGTTTCAGCAGGCATTACTTGTTGTATTACTTACACAAATTGTTTTAACTATAGTTATGAATAAAAATATCATACTCTTCAAATAATTTCAGAAGTTGCTATAGATACATACATAGCTTAAAAATTTCAAACTTATTTAAAATGCTACCTTCACAAGAACATAAACTTAAAAACTGAACTGATTTTAACGGATTAGTTAAAGCACAACAAGCAAAAAAAAATTTTTTTTAAATGCTCTGATAAAAATTAAGTCAGTGAAAGGTTCTTCTCAATTAAAAGACTGCTTGACACCGGTGACCAGGGCTGTACTGGGGGTGGTCAAGCGGCCCGGGACTGTAAACCAAGCGGTCCGGCCCACATACAGCAATACTAAGTCATTAAGGGGAGGGGGAGGATGAGGGGGGTTCAGCTGGGAATTTCCGACTTGCATAGCAGCAGCAAAAAAATTCGTATCATGTTCAGGAGTTAGATAAAATTACTGCGACATTTTTAAGTCCTACAAATTGTAGACTCCTTCACATTTTTATTCTTGCATAATATATATTTATATATATCTATATAGGTATATAGCTACCATTTACCATGTTTTAATAGGTAGTCGAAAATATCGCTCGAAAAGTCACAACTATACTATAATGTGCAAGCTCTCTGCTCTACTACAAAACAAAAATTTGACTAAGTTGCACAAAAACATCTGATAATCGACTTTGATGCTTTAACAGTAATATTTATAGCACGTACCTTATACATGGTATAGTTAGTGCAAAACTGCATTCGACTAATAGAATCTGTATTGCAATCATAAAAGGTATACATGCTGTCTCCAGAATTCTGTGGTTATAATGTGTTGCACTCAATATTAACAAAAAAAATAACCCATCAATTATGATTTGGTAACCTCCGTAATAACACAATGTTTCTGACGCCATATTATCGAAACTTACCGAATGTGGATCAAAGGACCAGATGTGTTTTTAGCCCAGGTGCAATTTCTGCAACCGAGTCGATGATGTCTTCGTTGGACAGCCGAACCATAACATCTACTTCGACAGACATCAGCATGAAAGCTTCTAAATGCGTGGATGACATTGAACTTCTATTTTTAATGTATTCTAATTTGGAAAAGGACCGTTCACACGCAACTTGAGTAGACGATAAAGTCAGCAAGAGCTTATAAGCACTGTACAAATGGGTGTAGGCTTTGCTGTAGAAATTGTATTTGTGTAAAACCGTGAAACAACAGACGGGGCAATTTTTGCAACTCTTGCATTTATCATGAGCTTCTTTGTCTTCAGAGAACGAAAAAGAAACTGCAGTTTTCTCGTCGTTCTCCAATTCATCGTTGTCGTTTCGGTTTTCCGCTAAGTTCATGCCCAAATATTCTTCAGGAACGGTCTTCGTAAATTTGCTCCACTTGAGCGAAAAGTCGATAAGTTCGGATTGTAAATTTGAAGCTGTTGCATCTTTATTAAATTTTGTTAGAATGCTGCTGAGACGTACTAAGGCAGTAGGTTGGATACCGTTTTTATTGATATCGTAGAAATTTTCTCGGATTCAAGCACGCCATGTCAGCGAACAACGTGTCTTGAGCTTTAAAGCGTTCTTCCAAAGTTTTCACTACTTTGTCCATAACGCAGTTGTGTACCGTTATCCTGTAGCAATCAATTGCGCGATCTCCGACAGCCTCATGAGTGCGTTGCTCACCACTCATTGCTTTTGGAACGCAAACTCGTTTTTCTGGCAATGCAGCTTCAACCGTCACATCAATTTTCAGATCTTCCAATGAGTTGTTGGCTCACTCGACAAATTTTTTAGCGCTCGCATTTATGCCATCAAAGTCTCTGGACACGTCTCGCAGTGCCTTGATAGTGCAGTCAACGTTTCGGTAGGCTTGGAGCACGTCCATCCCACTTGTCTGCAGGTACTTGGAAAGTGATGCTTTGTGTTGGAATATACGCAAAAAAACTTGAACGGTAAGAATTGTTTCAAATGAGATGCACTTATCTAATAGGGTTTGGGCGGTGTCGCGAACAGTTGGGTTAAAGTCTTCAGAGGAGGCTATTCTTGTAAAGTTTTAATTAGCTCAATATACAAGAACGTCGATGGGTTGTTGAAGATTCCAAATATGTTTTTTAGTGCATGGTCCTTTGCCCACCAGCGTGTCTCGCCAATTACATTTAGTCTTCTATTGTTTGATTGTTTTGACGCTCATATGTCTATTCGTACATATGATTCGCGCAAGAAAACAGCACATTTGTTTATAAGCTGAAATATACTGATAGCAGCTTTGGTGGTTTGTGTGGTATCAACAAGAACAAGATTCAATACATGAGCGTAACACCACACATGCACTTGGTTTGGGGATGCCTCACTGAGCCATTTTGTGAAACCGGAATATTGGCCCTGCATGTTTGCCGCCCCGTCTGTAGAGTTTCCCACACAGTTTTCAATGTTTATGCCCATTTTGACAATTTCATCCCGGAACAGCTCGAACATACCCTTGCCTGTCGAATTAGTACAATTGCTGACGGATACCAGTCGCTCGTAAATATGGTCTTTAACATATCGAATTACAATCGAGCATTGATCCTTTACGCTAACATCTTGCGTTGTATCCAGTTGCACGGAGAACATTCCTGCCGATTGAATCTCATCTGCAATCGATGCCTTAATCATACGGCGAACAGATTCAATTACATAATTGACAGTAGTGCTTGAAATAAATGTTACTAACCCTCCTCGTCCCTTCGTTCCTGATGCTGCGCACGTGACATGTTGTTGCTTACTTTTCTCCGTCACGATGTCAAGATGATTTTTCATAAGCGGGTCAAATTTAGACAGAAGGATTAAAATTTCTAAAAGGTTTCCGTGGTCAATATTGACATTGTCCAGACAGTAGGCTGCGTCATTGATAGATCTGTAACTAAGTCCTCGCTTTCCAATAAGTTTAACAATTTCTATCACACGTTCTAGAACTTGCCGTTTTTCTTTAACTTGAGCAGCTCTCACATTTTTTTGATTTGAAAAAAGCAAGCTATATACATCCTTGTCATTGCTCGACATAATGTGTGCCTCTACACTCCTGCAATGGTGTTTACTCGATTCGTGTTCTTCGATTCGTTGGTGAACATGCTTCCAATCATTCATGCCACCAGTAAATGCATTGGATTCACTAGCTTTGCTGTGGGCCAGACACAGTGTGCAAAACATGGCCTTCGAACTGTGACAGTAAGAAAGCCAAACCCTATTGATATCGTCTTGGCTTCTATAAAACACTCGACGAACATTTGAAAATGGTAAATTTTCCCCATCCTCTTTTGGTTGAACCGGATGACTCTTGAAAAATGATTCAAGGCACTGCGATTGTGGACGCATGAAAATTTTCGAACACTGATTCTGAGGCCAGGAGTCAGAGGATACAGATTTCTGGGATGGAGTTAGCACAGTGCAGCTCACGGAGGCTGAGATGGCAGGACCGGCTTGATCGCCGTCAGAAATTTGAGAACCTAAATCATCAACCAGAGTATCACCAGCAAACTGGGTGGGGGTACTTAGTCTAAAAAGTTCGGTTATCTTTTTACACTTTTCTCCCCCTTGAAGAAGAAGCTTTTGTTTCTTTTCACGTTGCTTTTCTGCCCCGCCTTTACTTTTCCGCTTCAAATCTTCACTCATCTTATCAAATATATACGTAAGGAGAAGACTATAATATTAGAGGCCCATTTAAGTTTACATTTTAACTTTATAACTATTTTGCATACAAAACTTGAAACATACATAAAATGAAATGTTCTCAAAACGACTAAAAAATCTGGCCAGTTTTTCGCAACTAAATATTATTTCCGTGGTCAACGATCGCTCCGATCGCTCCCGCTTCCCGAATACGCAATCATCAACTTTTCACTTTATGCTACACGTAGTTTCACACACTGTTTTCAAATGCCGTTTTCACCGTTACACAACCTGTCACTTTAAAAGATTCACTTCACAAAATGCAATCATTAAAAATACGAAATATCTCACTGCGGATGGTATCGCATAATTATCGCTAGCCATAAATCGCGTTTGAAGTCAAAAGCAAATCAAAACAACCAGCTAAAAACCAGGCGGCCCACCGGGAATCGTCCCGGTGTCCCGGCGGCCTAGTCCAGCCCTGCAGGTGACTAGTAGCATCGTTGACGAATCAGCTCCATTTTGTAAGAAAAAAAAATGTAAAAGAAAACAATCAAATTTCAACAAAAAATAAACTCACTTATGAAAATGTCGGAAAAAAAAGTCCAATCACAAATACTATTATTTTTTACATAAAACTGTTTCCTTAAATTAGACAGTAAACCAGTTTAAAAAAATAAATTTGAATATTAGATGACTAGATATTAAAATATTATTAATCTACGAAAAAAAAAAACTTCTTTAAATTTCATAGCTTTATTCCAATATTTAGTAACAATATTTAGTTTTCATCAGGGTAAATACATTGAAAAAAAAAATCTTTAAAAGTAGATCAATCTAGTTCTTAAAAGAATATATAAATAAAAAATATATATTGTATAAATTTCAAAATAAGAAATAGTTTTTATAAAAATATAAAGAAATTTTTTAAAATCTTTTTATCACCTACTATTCTAAAATCAGATACTGGATGAGTAGTACTAATTTTACCCATTGTCTCATAATTGTGTTAGATGCATGAACACATATATACATATATATTATATATATATAATATATATGTATATATATATATTATATATATATAATATATATATAAAAACAGCCTGTCGAAAAAAATAAGCGTTTTTACTGATTATATAGGGTTGGCAGACGTCCGGCTTTTACGGAGGAAAATACAGCGCCAAACCTGTAAAAAATTAATTTTTTTATTGTGTTCTCCTCCGAAAAAGCTGGACGTCTAGCAACCCTATAATGAATTATTAGTAATTCACTTATAAATTGATTAAACTGACAAAAATTTTATGTAACTATTTACCATATATTTACAAAATGATAATGGCGATTCATTTTTGTTTTTCAAGTTAGCTTGCAAGACTGTTCTGTACCGAACTTAAAAATAACGACTTGAAATCAGATTTTTCAAGAGCGAATTTATTTCAAGTTTATTTCTTGCATAATAGTCTGGTCGCAACCAAGGCCGGCGTGATATGGAAATGTGGGGGTGTGTGACACTCCCCATCAATGGTTTTGAGTCGGCAAACTGGACCCTTAGTCGGCAAATTGGACCCTTTTAGACTAGTTAGTCGGCAAATGTCGATCCTTTGGATATAGGTTAGACAGTCGGCAAATGTCGTCATGGCAGTCGGCAAATTTTGGAAAGCGAGGACTTTTTTTTTTTTTTTTTTTTTTTCGGCAAAAGTTGTAATAGCACCCCCCCTCCCCACATGACACCTACTCGCGCCTGCGCTGGTCGCTACATGTAAAAAAAAAAGGAAAACTAAACATTTTGACACCGCAAAGCATTAATTTAGTTTTAACAAATTAGTGACAAGGGGTTAATTGTTTGTAAAGTTAGATGTTTAAAATATAATTACTCAAATCTATGTAACCAAAACTACATAAACCTTATTTAAAAAAAAAAAGTAAATTAATATTGTATCAAAAATATGAAATAATTTTAATTTATTAAATCTAAAAAACAAACAATGTTCCCGTTCTTTGTTTACGTTAAAAATGTTTGCTTTTCAAAAACTGCTTGCTTTTTTCTATGTTATGAAAGCAGCATTTTAATCTGGTTCCTAAAAAAGAAATTAAAAATTCTTGTATACTTCATCAAGGTGAAGTTAGTCGTAATAATAACAAACTGCATGAATTTACTGAAAATGCACTTGCGAAAGTGAAGACTTGTGCATTGTGACTTACAAATCAAGCATTGTGACTTACAATGCTTGGTAAGTCACAAACTAAATGTACAACTCAATTTATTTTTTTATATATGCTTTAAACAATGGTACGGAAAAAACAATAAATAGCGTAAATTTGATAATAATATTTTTTGTTTACTATCGTCAAATTCGAAATGACTTTAAAATCATAAACATTCTACCTGAAATTCAGGTCCATATCCAGCATTTTTTGGTCTTCGAGATAGCTAACTTCCAGACATTGAGCAAACTTCAAACATTTATATGTTTATACTTATGTCAAATAAGGATGCTTTGCAAAAAATTGCGATGATTAGAGCTTGGGAACAAAAAACCCCAAAATTTGTGCTTCCCCAGCCCCAAATGTGAGAGCAAAAAGTCGATGAAATATTTTTGTACTATTTTTAACTAGACTTATATTTATCGATAAATTTTAAATTTCATATTAAAGTATTTCAACGTTCAAAAATTATAACAATATAAAATTGGCGACCTCCTCAAATTGAGGGGGGTTTAAACTTTATATGGTCAAAAATCTCGAACACCAAATAATGCTGGATACGGACCTGCTGATACGTGCCCAACAACTTTCTTATTTCATCAAAGATGCTACGATAAGTATGTGAATATAAAAACGTTAAACATTTTATAACATCGGAAAAATAGAAATCAGAAAAAGTCAACGACAGTGTAGGCTTGGATCCTCATTTAAGCGCAGAATCTCCGCTCGGAAAAGAGATAGATCAGGTAAATTAAAAAACCCTTGAGTATGAAACGCAAAGCAAAGAATATTGCCCTCAGTTTTCACGTTTTTTTTATGTTTTATGTACTACTTCAAAATTAAAATAATTCCTTTGTTTCATGAAAAATTATTGTGGATGAAAAGTGTTGCATTCGCTATTGGAAAAAGACTAATAAATATAGGAACGGACATAAAACGCTTACAATGGGCACCGGACCTAAAAAAGACGTCTTTTGAACGTTCAAAAGACGTCCAAAACGTTCAAAAGACGTTCAAAAGAGGTCTAAAACGAGTATAAGACGATTAAAAACGTCTTTTTAAACCTTAACTATACAAGACCCCAAAAAGATCCTTTTATTTTAACAGAAGATGCAATTATGCGTTTGCTCTTCGACTATGTGACAGAACACGTATTAGACAATTTAGAGATTACTCATACAAGTAAGCTTTTTGAATTTTAGGAGGAAAACTGCACAGATAGAGCAAAGATTCTAGATAAAAGTACTTTGCAGGATACTGTAGTTGCAGAACTTTCGGGTCTGTTTAGTTGTGGTCACCAAAATTTTTTTGATGTTTTTTTAAAAAAGATTGAGAATTTAGAATAAAATAATAATCCAAAACTAATTGAACAGCTTATCCATCATGTCGCACAAAAGATTCGCAGCGAGGTTTTGTCTTTAAAAAAAAAATACTTAAACTGCCTATATATAATGCATCTATTGGTTTTGAAACCTTTTGTATTCACACGGTTGACACAGATATTGCTATTTACGCTTTGTACTTTCAAAACCAACTTCAAATAGAATTATTTGTGGATATTGGCGTCTCTACTGAAAGACGGACTCTTGATATAAAATTATTGTCTCACAGTTAGGTACTGATTGTTGTAAGCTTAAAATTATAATGCAGTAATACGAACGAAGGAAGATACCTTAAGTTTATTGAAAGAAGTTTCTGCCAACTAAGGATGCTCTTATGTGTCATTGCAAGAGAGTTTCGTATCAAACAGCAATTGTCAAACAATCAGTGGTGGCAAATCTTAATATTCCAAAACCCAATGGATATGGATGGCGAGAAATCGGCAATCAACTTGAGGTTAAATTGATGCTCATTAGACCTGATCCAGAAGATGTTTTGCATTTACTTCCTGTTCGTGTAAGATGTCAAAATGTGAAACACGGGTTGATTGCATGGATTGACTTGTACGCAACTGTTCGTTTTGTGCGAAAATACAAATGATTGGGAAGACACGTAAACAAAATATTATTCAACTGATTCGAATTTTCCCTTTAAAAAATCTGTTCGCTAAATATTTTTTTTCGCAAAATTCGAAAAAAATTATTAGCGTGACGTATTCAGTACCAAACAAGGGCCCGAATTTGACCCTTTAAGCACTATTAGAATTTCTCGTAAGTTTTTCTAAAGATTTTATTATTTATTATAAGGTTTTCTCAAGAGATAAAATATGTTTTATTTAGTTTGTTTTTTTGAAAAAATGTCAAAATGACGTCATCAGTACCAATAAGGGCCCAAATGTGACCCTTTTGCACTTTCAGAAAGGCACGTAAAGTTTTTCTCATTCAAGATATCAATGTTAAACTATTTAAGTAGTTTTTGCAATGTCCACTTCTTTTCCAAGAAAAAGTTACACGTAACGTCCAGACTATAACACTTTCAGATAAACAAGTTCGCTTTTTTCATTCGGAAAAGATTTTTGCTTTTCAAGTTGGCTTATCAAGTCTAACTTGAAAACGGCCGTTTTTCAAGTTAGACTTTGAGGTCAAATTTGCTTTTTGCATTTACTTTAGTCATATTTTAGAATTGAAGTATGACTTCAAATTTCAAGTTCGCTTCTTGCATTCCACCCTTAAACTCTATGCACCTAGGTTCTTCCGCTTATGTTAATAATGCAATTTCCTTAAGTTCTACCCGCCCCTATCCATTCTGATTTGCTGCAATAATGATTAAGTATACGTATACATTTAGTAATAATAATTTAATTTTGCATTAATATTTTGGCATTTATACAAAACATCTGCTTAAACACCTTTTAA